TAGTTTGATTTGCTGTATAGAAAATGACTTGAAGTTGTATTGTTGTTCCAAACCAAGGAACTACAGCTTTCCCCCTCTTAAAAATCTTCTATTTCAGATAGTGCATATTTTGACTTTATGAACTTTACTTTTGTGCTGGTACCTGTCAAAGCCTTGGCTTCCCAAGGGAAGTCATGTTTCTGTTGTTGCTATAGCCACCCTTGGGCAGATGTGTATTTGTTAAATAACCTCAAAAACTCAAGCATATGTCTAAAAATTCACATGGCAGAGAATTTGAGCAGTTCAGCTGTTGTATGAAGGCATAAAAAGGGTTTAGAAATATTGGTGCCGAAATCAGACCTTTGTGAGAATAAGTCAGGAGCTTTCTGTTCTGCTCATTTAGGTATCCAACGAGCCTGGTAATCGCTACAACCTCCAGCTCATCAACGCACTGGTGCTCTATGTAGGGACTCAGGCCATTGCACACATCCATAACAAGGGCAGCACGCCTTCAATGAGCACGATCACGCACTCGGCTCACATGGACATATTTCAGAATCTGGCTGTGGACTTGGACACTGAAGGTGAGTGAAGCCAGCCAGTTCTCACAGTCAAGTTCTCTGCACTTTTTGCTATAGTCTGGTCATAAAAATACTTTAAGCCACAATAGAGAATGTTCTGTCAATATGTTTATGATCTAGCTGGTTATTTTATCTTTAATTAGATAGATCTGTTCAATGCAGAAAACACAGAAAAGCACAAAGAATCATCCAAATCTTTATCTTATCAGTCAGTATTTCAGTGTATATGATTACAGTACTTTTGTTGTGAAAATAAACATCCCTTTTGCTAGTCTTTCTTTAAAAACAGGCTCATGTTTTGTTAGCCTGCCTTTTCCCCCAGCATTTATTGGTGCCTGTTTGTGAGGCAACATGTTAAGCGTTAGGCATATAAAGATAAATAGGATTTTCCCTATCTGCTCTGCAAAAAGTAATTCTTATTCTAAGTTGCACCTTGCTTGGTTGAACTACAGTTCTTTTGGTGTTCTATATTCATTCTTTATTATGAGGCTCCAGCAGGTGCTAACCAGCTATTCAGTCCTGTTCATTTTCGCACACAAATACTTTAGGAGGTTGCCTACTTTCAACTTAGCTATGGATTCTTGAGAGACTACTTAATCTTGAGTGTATACCTGTGTGTATGTATACTTATGTCTGTAATATATATATATATATATATATATATATATATACTGCATGCCTATTTGTAGATGGGATTTGAAACAGCTTAAAATCAAGATTTAACATAATTGAATACCATTATGTCCAGAGCCCAGCAAAATAAAGGAGGGATAGCCTTGTGGGGGAAGTGTTAAAGCTCACTTTGATAGCCTTACAAACATGAGTGATATCAAAGGCAGACAACCCAACCCAGTTAAGATAATAGATATTTATTCCAATATAGTTTGAACTAGCAGTTCTCAAAAATGTGGTCTAGGAACCGTTGGGGGTGTCCCTAACACTCTTTTTAGAACTGTGTGAGGTCAAAACCATTTTCATGATAAGACATTTGCTTTTTTCCCCACACTCGTTTGTCACGAGTGCACTAGTGGAGTTTTCCAGAGGCTACATGAAATATAATACTGGAACAGATTGAACACAGAGGCAGAAATGAGAATCCAGCTGTCTTCTATTAAGTGACACTAAAGAGATCTGTGAAATGTAAAACGGTGACGAACTCCATTAAGTCTTTTTGGAAAATACTTAATAATGTTATATTAATATGCAGTAGGTCTATTATTTTTTAAAAAAAATTTTAAATCTTTTAAAAAATTTTAATGTAGAAAGTACTGAAATAAAACCCACAGAAATGAAAACTCTGTGGGGACCTGAGAACCACTGGTTGAAACTAAAGAATAATTTGAAAGCCTGTATCAGAAATCCACATCGTAGCCAGTCAGAATGACTTGTCTTCTCATGTTGGCCTTCCAAAGCCAAGTCCTCACTAAGCTGAGTCTTAATTTCTAGGTCGGTATCTCTTCTTGAATGCAATTGCAAATCAGCTGCGGTACCCAAATAGCCACACTCACTACTTCAGCTGTACCATGCTGTACCTTTTTGCAGAGGCCAATACTGAAGCTATCCAAGAACAGATTACAAGGTAAGAGAGAATTTTGTTTTTCAGACGCTTCTAAATGATGCCTTTTTCCTTTTATTATGAATTCCATGAATGTTTTTTTGTATGCATTCAGTGTTCATTGAGCATTTTTTCCATGTCTGTTTAAAACACTTTTTACGTGGTTAAATGTGGGATATAGCTGTAAAGAAAATGGACACGGTTCCTGTCCTCCTAATAATTAGACTGATAGACACAAAAAGTCACAAGTAGACAATCACAAATCATAATCATTGCTGAAGTAAAAAGTAGTTTTCAACAAGAGGCACCAACATTTTGATTGAATGTCAGGAGCTTCTCTGAGGTGGGGGTGGCAGTTTTAATCACAGTCCACAGTCCTGAATCACACAGACCTATTAAAGAGCTTGGACTTTTCTTTCTTAGCTCTGGGTTGAAAGGTTTTAACCAGGAGAAATAATAGGATCATGCTTGTGTTTTCCTAACAATAGTTAGGAATCTTTTGCAGATTGCTTAGACTTTGTACAGCACTGAAGATCGGGAAATGGGTAGATTGTAGTGACAGAGATATGTATATGTACTTTAAAATTAAAAATTGGACCAGGCTTTTTAAACTTGCCCCTTCACCTAATAGTTGTTTCTGGGTATTAGATACGGTATTCCTTAGATTTATATACCAGAAATTAGTATTCTATTGGATGTTTAGATGATAATGTCTTATTTTGTTGTTATATATAAATCTGTAGTGAACTTCCCTATAATCTTTGTTCTTGTGCTTATTTCTTTAGGGTAAATTTAGAAGTACAATTGGTTAGGCCAAAGGATATGACTGTTTAAGCCAATACTGCCATTCAGAAAAATTACGCCAATTTACACAAGTACTAGTAGTCATTGAGTGTGCCTCCTTTAAGTGATTACACTCTGCACCATAATACTATCCTAACTTTAACTTAGTCTTTTAGGCTCTGTAATGGGAAGAGGCAGGATTCTAACCTGGCTTTTCTAATTCCAAAATCCATTTGCTTTATCCATGCTGTGTACAGTGTAGAGATTAATCTACTTGTTTTTAGTAAAGCTAGCAACTTTTGCATGTAGTTTAATAATCAGAGAGAAGAGTCAGAAAAAAAGGTAATGGAGAAATAGTCATGAATTTCTATGTTTCTCTGTGCATTGACTAACTTTCTCTCTCCTTCTCCAGGGTTCTCTTGGAACGGTTGATTGTAAATAGGCCACATCCTTGGGGTCTTCTTATTACCTTCATTGAGCTGATTAAAAATCCAGCGTTTAAGTTCTGGAACCACGAGTTTGTACATTGTGCCCCAGAAATTGAAAAGTGAGTTAAAAGTACTTTTAATTGTCTGCGACAGGACAATGAGAATCATTTGATGGCTCCATCTTGGGTGGGTGATTAAAAAGGCAGTAGTAGCCAAAGCTAATGAGATGCAAGGTGTTAGCAGGCCTGAACTTTTCTCACAAATAAACTTGTAACTGTCTCCATTCTTTAGGTTATTCCAATCGGTCGCACAATGCTGCATGGGACAGAAGCAGGCTCAGCAAGTAATGGAAGGGACAGGTGCCAGTTAGATGGAACTGCATCTCTGTTGTAAATGTGTCAGCCTGGAGGTCCTACCATGCCAGGGTTATAAACTGGCTGAAGAATCCTTTCAGCTCTTCCCGACTTTCCCAGCCCTTTGGTTCTCGGGTATCTGCCCCAATTACTGTTTGGGTCAGCTTCCTGTCTATGTGGGCACGTTCCAAAGTTTAAATGCATTTTTTGACTCTTGGCCAAAATTTAGAAGATGCTGTGAATATCATTTTGAACTTGTGTAAATATATGAGAGAGAAAACCTTTGTCTGGAACTTCTTGGGTTTGTGCAAAATGTGTCCAAGGCAAGTAGAGAAACTGGTACCTGCCCAGCTTATAATTGAAGAGGCTGCTGATGCCATGCACTTGTCTGGGGGGCATAGCTCCATGTCTTCTGACATTCCTGGTGTCCCAAAGAATAGCAAAAAGTTTAAATATTATGTAACTTATTCTTTTAATGTGGACAGGGGGCCTTGAAAATCACTAAGTTGTTAAAAAGTGGATGTGCTAGAATTTGGTATGCCAGGGAACATGGGAAGAGCTTGCAGCTGAGATCCCATGGGTTTCTGTTTTTTTCTCTTCCCCAAATTTAAAGCTGACTGCTGGGGAAAGCCTCATTTTTCATTTCTGTTGGAGAACCTACCCCCTTCAGCCCTGTGAGATGCAGTCAGCTCTTTTTTTAAAAAGGGAAACCATACCAGGCCTAAAGCTCCCCCATCTCAATCCTGATAATTTTATAAATTGTGGGAAAAAGAAAGGGAACCAAATATTATGAATTGCTCTCCCATATTATTCCAGTGAATGGCCATACAGCCTAAGTGGAACAACAAAAAAGTCAAAAGGACCAATACAGCCCCTTTTGTAAGGATTTTGAATGTTTTGTAAACGTATTGGTCCATGTGTTGTATTTTGTAGCCTTTCTAGTTCCTGGGCTTTGGCTCCCCTACTTCTTGTATGTGTATGCATACTGTAGTTAAACATTAAAGTCATGACACACATGTGAGTCCACTGTGCCTTTCTCAGTAGCAGCAAACAGTGCTGGTGGTGAGGAGGAAAGTGGACAGTCCAGCCTTGCAGAGCCCGGGGCCATTGGGAAACACCAACTTCTTGCTGAATGGTAGCTCTTTCCCACTGGTACTAATCTGGCATGATAGTGTTTCTACCTGTTCTTTCCAACAGTGGAAAATTGTTGGAGCAGGCTTCTGTGGTTAAACTGAATCACAAAACGTCCATTTTTTAATATCCTTTACCCTTATGGTGTTTTTATATAATTTTTAAAAGAGACCAGGTATATATTTCCCACTTACAATATACCTTACCTTTAATGACTGTTAAATTTTATGGCCAGAAAGGACCAAAAGGTTCAAGATTAAATAGTAGAAATCTTACATGAGTGGGGCTTGAATGTCATTGGTGTCTTAGAGTTTCTTCCCTGAAGGGCGAGTTGTGCCATCTAGAACAGACTTCAGACTGCTGAGGAATTAAAACAATTGCTCTGAGTGCCAGTGACATAGCTTATTAAATTCTCTAACAGGAACAGTCTTTTTAGTGACTTGCTCAAAATAGACCCAGATTTGAACCAGGTCTACCTTCAAAGTCCCTGTCATTAAATGCTAGACTACAGCAAGACGTATTACCATCACCTTTTGAACTCTGGTTCAAACTGAGAACAAAACAGCTATAAAATTTATTGGTCTTAGAAGCAGTCAGCAGTGATTCCCAATTCTCTAACATGTCACCCTTACCTCAGAGTTAGTCCTAGCACCACACTTTGGTTACTTTTCCTTTTGTTATTTATAAGAAAAGCAACGCAAAAGATCCAAATTTTCCTTCTTTTCAAACATCGATGAATATCAGCTTAGACTAAAATTCTTCTCATGGATGTTCCTTCAGGTAACAGGGAACCTGCTAACTCGTCAATTCCAACAACTGGTGTAAGATCATCTTCTGACCATAACGAACCTGTAAGGCTTGCTGTTCCCTCCAGCTGAGTTTGGCATAGACCTCCTTATTACTGAGTAAATCCTGCTCAGTTTTTAAGTCTGTGGCATAGGTTTGCAGGGTCAACAAAACACTTTTTCGAAGAAGCTGTCTCCATGATGCTTTGAGCTTGGGGATATTTGTGATTGTCAGGCTGTCCTCTTCCTTTTTGTCATCTGCCCATCCATCCTGGTCTTTAAACTCCCTGAACTCCTCCGCAGGCATGCACAGCACCTGGAAGCAACATGGGGCCCTTTAATTAGGATGTACTACTTGTGTATTTCTGAAATTGATTTAGAGTAGCCAATCTATTTTGGCAGCGTTTCAGTCTCCCTCCATCCCACCTTTCCTCTCTCATCTAGCTTTATCTAGCTCTAAATACCTAGGCCATTTTCAGCAGTAAATGGCCATTTTTGGCTCTTTACCTTGAGTGTGGTGGTCAGTTCCTCTTCAGTCAGCACCTCCTCCCGCCCAATCACAAAGGCTCCCTCTTCCCCTACCATCTCCAGTTTGCATAAGAAATCCCAGCGTTCATATAGTAGGAGCCTTTCAGCTTCAACTTTTGTTCCTGTAGATAGAAAAGTGATAGTGTGGAAGTCTCAGTATACCCAGGAGCTCATTTTTCCTTAGTCCACTGCCTTGTCCACAAAAAAGGGGCAAGTGCTATTTAGCAGAGTACCTGGGGCAGGGATAGAGACACATCCACCAGTGTCCAAGGTTGAGTTAAGCAGACACTCACCCTGTAATGCTGCTTCACGAACTGTCACCATCTGAATGTCAGCTGTGTCATCCGTGTTGTCAGGATATGGTTCAACAAAACCGTACATATGAATTAGTTGCCAATTAGCCATTTGCCCATAAGTGTTGAAAATCTCATGGCCTTTAGGAATGGGCTGAGTGGCCACCATCCGAAGACAATTCTGGGGTGGAAGGGAGAAGCTGGGGCCAGGCCCTTACATGGCCAGGCCCATGAAGATTACTTCCCTCTTAGGAATAGCCTCCAGCAGGCATAGTTCAGCGATGGGACTGATGCTATACCGACCAACATTCTACCTTTAGTTCCTGCTAAGATCCTGTATGTAGAATGAAAGGGGTGAGGCTCACAAAGGTCAAAGTCAGCCTCAATGTTTTATTAAGTGACTCACTCTGCTCACTCATCTTCAGCATTTAAAAAGTTGCTACCTTTCCAAAATGAACAGTTAAGCCTAGATCAAAGTAGGAATGGCAAATGGGGTTAGGGATTTAAAAAATAACAGCCATTTCCTAATTTTTATACTTGGATCGTCTCTTGCAACTTTATGTATAGCAAACAGAATTGATATAAACACAGCCTTGGTATTAAAGACCTTTGACCTGTGAACATCCCCGCTCTTCCCCCTTCCTCCCGAAAAGTACTGACACCAATAGCTGTTCCAGGCTGCTGTCCACAGGGCCCCAACACAATCTTGGCTCACTGGCACTTGACAGAACAGCCAACCTCTAACACCAAATAAATGATGGAAGTATAGTTTATCAGAGAATTAACTGCAACTTGCTTTGAGATGTTTTGCTGTTCAAACTGTTTCACTGGAATATGCAAACAAAGTACATACAGGAGGAGCTAACTTCAGTTTTAGCAGGAGAATGGAGCCCGTTTAGCCCAAATGCCAGGCCAGCATAAATGACAGACACTGGTTTGAATCAAATGCCCAATCATCAATGCACATAGAACAAGAACTGGGAGGGATCCACTCACTGGAGAGTATTCTAGATTGGCATTGTGATTGGCTAAGTGGTTTAGTATGTCTGCAGCAGGCACCATCAAAGGAGAGTTTGGCTCCTTTTCATCCTCCTCTTCCTCCAGTGGTTCCTGAAAGCTGCCACAGAGAGAACTTGGCTAAAGCCCAGTGTAGGATAAGAGACTGGGGGTGGCGTTCACTGTCCTTTCCCCTCTTGTCCCTCAATAGAGTTCTATAAGAAAAGGGTCCTTAAGGCTCTGCTCACTGACCTGTAGGCCATCACAAGAGCTACAAGCTGGTGGTAGAGTTCCGGGGAGCGAACCCTGGGGCTGAACAGATCGGGGTGGGCTTCCATGAAGGGCAGCACGATGGAATAGTACTCGCTGCGGATGTTGGCCAAATCCTTCTCCACGGCCTCGGGTACGCCTGTGCCCTGCAGCAATTGCCGGCGCTGCTCCTCGGGCCTGCAGTGACACCCCCACCCAGGTTTCCTTGACACACTCTACGGGGACTAGTGCTTGTAAGCCCTGTCCCCGGGGCAGGGCAGTTCGAGCCAGACCTTCCTACGGCTCTCACCAGAACATGGGGTGCTCCAAGCGGCCCAGCTCCGGCCAGAGCGCAAAGTAGGGGCTCCAGGGCGAGGCCGGCGCCTGCAGCTCGTGCAGCAGCGCGAGCAGCAACGGCACCCAGCCCGACTGGCTCTGCAACGCGCCTCTCTCTGCGGGAGACACACAGGTGAGAGCCCCGGCGTGGCCGCGCGGGCCCGCCTCCGGTGTCCCCCCCGCCGGCGTGCCCACCTCGCTCCAGCAGGCCGCTGATGGAGCAGGTGTGCTGCGACAGGAGCGCGGCCCGCGGCACCGCGAACAGCAACTCCCCGGGCTGCACGCTCTCCTGGGCCACCATGCCGTAGCCGGCCACCGTGCCCTGCCGGCTCACCGCCACCTGAGCAGAGGGAGCGGCCGGTCAGACCGGGCCCGCCCCCCGCCGTGCCCGCCTCCGCCCCACCGCCCGCCCCGCACTCACCTTGGGACTCAGCTCCAAACCAACCCGCCGGCACCAGCTCAGGAAGCCGGCCACCGGGTCCGGGTTGCCGCCGCCCGCAGGCCCCGCCACCTGAGACATGCGAGCGCAGTCGCGAGGCCCCGCCCCGGAGAGCTGGCGGGGGCGGGAGGAGGCCGCGGGGCGAGAGCGCTGGGTGGGGGAGGGGAGGCGGGGAACGGCGTGGGGTGCGGGGAGCGCGGGGGCAGCACCGCGCGCGGGGGAGGGCGCGGCGCGGGGGACAGGGGGACAGGGCTGGGCCCGCGCCCGCCGCCCGCGACTTACCCGCCGGCGCTTCGCCCGGGTGGCCATGGTCCGAGGGCACCCAGCCCCGCGGGTCACTAGACCCGCGCTGACGCTTCCGGCGTCCCAGGCCACGCCTCGGGGCGGGGCGTATGTCCCCGCCTCGGCACCAGGACCACGTGACGCTGGTTGCGGCCTCCACGCGGAAGACGAGTGAGGATTTGCACCGGGTGAGGTCATTCCTTCTGAGAACATCCTTCTTCGGTCTGCGTGTCCCCAGTTGGGTTTAGGAGACGTGCGGTCGGGTGCAGGAAGATGTGTGTCCCCGTGCCGCCTCGCGCCTGGCTCTGAGCCAGGCAGAACCCTCCCCTTCTGTCTCCGACAGCTGAGACCTCTGGGCGAAGTTCGGGTGAAGAACAAAATCTGCTTTCTGGATGTGACTCCGAGGGCCTCGCGGCTGGCGGGCTGTGAGCGCACCCGGGTGGATGGCCGGCCGGCCTTCCTGATCTCGAGCCCTCGTCAGCTGCGGTCATCTGACCGTTTTCATTTGCTCAATTAGAGCAGCGTGTGTGTGTGTGTGTGTGTGTGTGTCAGAGTGGCGTAGGGAGGGCACCTAGAACTAGAATAGACCCCCTTTGCCCTTGCTCGCTAGTATATCCCTCTTTTTCACCTTCTGCCTAGCACATGAGGGGTTTTGTTTTTATTTATTTACTTCTTTATTAGCTGACACACGGCAGGAGCTCAGTGTCTATTAAATGGCTGAGTGAGTGAATCAGAAATGGTGGTTAAACACGGGCCAGTAGCATGCTGTTAAATTTAAGAAAATAAGGCTGCAAATAGAAAGGTTAGAAGCTGGGTTTTAAGTTGAAACATGCCACGGTCAGCTCCTGGCTTGGCCTCTAGGGCAAATCCCTTAGCCTGAGGCTCAGTTTCCCCAGCTGTGAAACTAAGATAAATATCTACCCGGTAGAATTAATGTAAGGATTGGTAAGATGATGTTTGTGACAGGAACTGGAAACAGAGAGACAGATGGACACGCCTGTCTGCACCCTGCATGCTCAAGTGACCTCAACCCAAGAAGCACCAGCCTTGCCAGCCTGAACATATCCCCTCAAAATGTTCCCTCGATGGCCATGGCATAACCATACTCGAATTCTTTTTAGTTTCTTTATTAGTTTTTCAGCACAGTTAACTCTCTCTACGTTGACAAGGATTTTTATTTGTTTTATATTTTGTCATCTCAAAATCTCATGACATCAGCCACCAGAATACACAAAATTAGGCTCTTCACTTTGTACAGAGAGGAAAATAATAAACTCCATTAAAAGTTCACTTTGACCAAAGAGACAGCCTCTGATGGAAAACCACACACAAGAGGACCCAATATACATATATATATATATAATGTATAGATATTTATAGATATCTCATCTGAAAGAACACAGCAGAAAAGAAAAAAAAAATCCCAGAGTCGCAGCGCTACCTACAGTAAGAGGGATTAATTCTACCAGCTTTTCAAACAGTCACATTCGATACTCAAGGGAAGCAGGTGAGTAAACAGGACTGGGGGCAGACTACACTCCACCGGGCTCCAGAGCAGTCTAGTAATGGCTTAAGATTATAGAAGGGAGTGATGTGTGCACAGGAAATGGGGATGCAGTGTCCTCTCAGGCTCCCAGCACCCCCTCACCCCCCACACTCCCCCCTCCGACAGCCCTGCAGTTTTCACTGCTCTCTCGCCTCTGTCTTCACTCGTCTGGGGGCTTGTGGCAACTGATTTAGGCTCAAAGACAAATGGCTTCTGGTTTCTGGGCCAGGAGATTCTACCTGATAAGGTGGGTGGATGGCAGTATACTTCAGGTGACAGGCTTCAGGTGGCAGGCAGGGGCTGGGGTGTGTGGGGAGCCTTTCTCCTCTGCCTGCCCCTTGCTCTTTTCAGGAACCTTCACCTCCCACTCCAGGACCCAGGGAGCCCCAGGCCCAGCCCACTCTAACAGGCTGAGAAGGTGATGTGGGACTGTGAAGTCCCGCAACCTTGGACCAGTCCTCTCCAAATAAACTTTCCCTTCCTAGTGATGTTTGCACGACACTGGCATGGCTTGACCAGAACTCTCCCTAGGTATTTCTCCACGTTTCTGGAGGCCTTGGCTATACTGCTGCTGATTGGGTTGTCCTCCATGGAAACTGGGAGCAAAAAAGGGGTCTAGAGGAATCTCTGCCCCTGCTCCTGCTGGCTCCCCACGGCAGTCCCCACGAAGATCTCAGGGGTGCAGCCAGCACTCACAGACTATCCCAGCCTTTAACCTCAGCCCCCATGTCTGGTCCCTACGGAGACAGAGGACCAGGCGACTTTCTGCCTCAGGCTTAGAAATGGGACAGGGCCAGGAGGTGGCAGAGAGTGTGGGCTGGAAGGGACAATTCATGGAGTTCCTGCCCTCAAGGTCCGGCCTGTTCTATCCTTGGGCAGGAAAACCCTCTTCAGCTTCTGCCTGCCTGGCCCTGCAGCACCAGCCCTGCGAGTGCCCCCTTGTGGCTGCTGTTCAGATGATCGTCACATGTGCTTCAAGACAAACACATGTGTTGGGTGGAAGGGTTAGGGGAAAGGGGCCTGCAGAGCTCCAGGGCTCCCTGCCTCCCAGCGCTCCCTGCTGCTGTCTCCTGGCTCTCATGCCAGGAGTTAGACCTCGTGCTCCTGCTGTCCCAGTGCCCACCACCCAAAACCCCATCCCATCTTCAAACCTGCCTGCCCAACGAGGTCATCCCTTGCTCCTTCTTTAACCCAGGATATTAGCCTGGATCCTAGCCAGAGAAGGACTCAAACTCTTTCCTTAGTTAATCCCCTTCCTCCCAGGACACCCCCCCCCGACGGTCCCTAGGCCATCAGCAGTTGGAAGAGAGGAGTCTAAGTCAGCTAAGCAAGTTAACAAAGTCGGGGGGGGGGAGTGAGCCCCTCAAACCATCTGGAGACTGTTCCGTTGCAGCACCTAAGATAGATCCCTTCATCTTTTTAAACAAAAGAGAAGTAACCCCACTTCCTCCCTTTTGCCCTCACAAAAATAAACTAAAGGGAAAAATGAGCCGGCGCGAGGATGGCAGTGGGACGGCGATGTGGGCGGGGGCAGGTGGGCATCTTCGAGGGACCAAGGGCTTCAACAGGACACCTCCATGGTGTGGTTGACCTGGCCCAGCCCCTCACTGCTCTCCGAGTGGGTGCAGGCCTGCGGGCGGCTGCCGTCCACCGAGCTGGCGCTGGTGAGCGACGCGGTGCGAGAGCGGGCGAGACGGGTCATGCTGGCCGAGGGCACTGTGGACCGAGACGGGAGCCAGAGTGAGGACCAGCGGGCAGGGCCGGGTGCCAGCAGGCGGGAAAACGATCCACGCAAGCAAAGCGGCCAGCGAGCCCCGTTCTTCCACCAGCAAGCCAGGGCTCTGCGTCCGCTCCGTCAAGCCCGAGGCATGCAGTGCCAGCAACAGTGAGTGAGCCAAAGGACAGGGGACCAGGGGCCCCGCAGAAGACAGCAGGACCCTTCTCGCGGCAGCTGGCCAGGGGTGGGAGTTGACTGGGTGTCCTTGAGCTAGTGCAGGGATGGGACATATTTCCAACTCTACCTCCCTCAAGAGCATGGTGGAGCAGGGGGAGGAGGACAAGGTGTGGGGGCCTCAAATCACCCTAAATCCAGTTTCTGCTCTTATTCAGAGTTTCACAGACCCGCAGGGGCCAACTCTACCCTCCTCAACTCAACCAGCCACCCTGTCGTCCCCAGGGCCAGGCGCTGCCTCTGAGAGGTTCTGGTTCCTGAGCTCTGGGAGTCACGTGGCCCACGGCAACCTAGAAGCAAGACTGCTCTGAACCTCAGCCGATCTAGAGCCCTCCAGTGGTACAGAGCCACGTGGTCCAGGACCTGCGGGAGAGCAGGACTGCCCTGGGTTTTGGAGGGGAGCAGGACACAAGAAGGTTCCAAACCACAGCAAGACGCAGCCTGGCTGCAGCACTGCACAGAGGAAGGAGCGGGCGAGACTGGGGCGGGGGCGGGGGGGTCCATGCATCAGGGGAGGGGCCATGGGGTACCTGCTCCTCCACTCAGCCTTCGGTCCTTCAAGTACGCAACTAAGAGAGAAGACAGGGCCGGAGAGGGCGGGGTGGGGAGACACAGAACACCAGTGAAGAGCATGGTTGGTGAGGCAGGGGCGTGGAGATGGGCCAGAGATGAGAGAAAAGTCCAGGCACAGAGAGGGCTGGGGCAGGACTAGAGCCTCAGGAAGCCCGGCCCCGCCCGCCCCCCACCACAGCGGGCCACTAGGAACCGCAGCGCGGGCTGGTCTTAGTCTGGCCCCAGGAGCCCCGACAGCAGGGTGGGGGCCCTCATCTTGCCTGGGCTGCGGCACTGAGGGGCTCACATCGACAAGGCCTGAGCCCTCCCAGCTCTCGGGCTGCCTGGTGGTACTTCGCCCAGGGCCCTGAGAAAACGTCAGGGGCTGACAAGTGTTGCTCATCCACTCATCCCACAAACGTTCACTGTTGGCCTCCAGTGTCTCACTGGTGGCCTTGGCCTCTCCTTGCCTTACTTCTCCACAGAGAGGCTGGCAGGCCCCTGGGGGCCAGGGGGAGTTCTATTCTTGGATGTGCACCCCTCCAGCCCCCCAGGGGCCTGTCCTCCCGAGGAGGCACTAGCTCCAGAGGCTGAAGTCTTGGGGTGGGGGAATCAGAGAGAGGAGGTTTGCTTCCCGCAGGAGAGCCAAGTGTATGGGGGGGTTGGGAGGAAGGATGGGGTCACAGAAATGCTCCCGTGCCGCCAGAGAGGGGTACGCGCGTGCTGGGGGGCTCCTGAGCACAGTCTGGGAGTCTCATCTTTGCACAGGGTGATGTTTGGAGAAGGGAGGGGGCGGGCAGGGAGCCAGGTCCACCACCTTGCCTCTGTTACCGCAGGGTCTTCAGATATGCCACCCAGGTTTGGCTGCCCTCAGCTCTCCTGACACCAGGATGGCCTCACCTGCCTTCCCCAGTCCCCAGACTCCAAGCCCGCTCCTCGGATGCCCCCGGTACCATCCACTACCTGTGATAAAAGCCCTTCTCAGGTGCTGGAGATCCCGGCAGGGGTGGCTGGTGTGTCTGACTCACCTTCAGGCAGGCTTCTCTGGCAGGACCCAGCCCCACTGGGCCCTGCGCCCCCAGGGCTGGGACAAGAGCCCCCGATGCATCAGGCCCAGACATGAGAGCAGTGTCCTAAAGCCCCCCAAGGGCACAGGAGAGCTGAGCACAGCCCAGGATGATCAACTTATAATTTAGGTGGAGATGCCCTAGTTGGGGCCCCAGCTATGGTGGGGAGCATGTGGCCAGAGGGGCCCAGCATCCAGACCCCAATAACAGAGCTCACATGCCCGTAGGCTGCTCAGCCCCACCTCGCTGCCTGCCCACTGTCTCCGGGGCGGGTGGGGCGGTATACTTACTGTAGCCCATGCCTTGCAGGAAGTATTTGAAGGCTTCCGTCAGCTTCCCAGGCTGCAGGAGGGCAGACAGGCACAGGCTTTGATTGGCTGCCTGGGATGGGGGCGGGGGGAGGCTTCCCCAACCCGGGCTGGGTAAGGGAGGGAGGGCCAAGAGTCTCACCTGTGTGACCTGGGGGAGCCCACCAGAATCTGCCATCTGCAGGAGAGAGAGGGGGGTGAGCTGAGCAGGAGCCACCGCACACCTTGCCTGGGCCTTGCACACCTGGACAGGCTCCCCTGGCTGGACACACAGTCCTGCTCCCATTCCGGCTGGGCCCCCAGGCAGGCCCCTCTCTGAGGCTGGGCCCATGGTGGGTGCTGGCTCAGGGCTGGGAGGAAGGCCTCACCTTCAGGAAGGTCGTGGTGCTTGGATCCAGTTTGGAGTTGCACTCGACCTGGGGACAAGGAGCCAGCTTCAGCAGAGCAAGGTGGCCCTGGCCCCCAAGAGGGTATCAGGGGAGCCCCTGGCCCGGTTGCTAAGGTTGGGTCTATCCCCAGAGCTGGGAGGAGGGAGGGAGGCGAGGGAGGGAGGGCAGCGGCAGACACAGGCGCTGGCTAAGGCTGCCCCTCCCCAGGCTGCCTTCTGAAAGGCCACGCCCCTGGAGATCAGGACCCTCGCCTCCACTCACGACTGCTGATGGGGCAGGGGCTGGGGACTGTCCTCACGGAGAGCCAGGGCCACCTTGGCGGAAGTGGCTAGGAAAGCACCAGGGACCACAGGAGTTGGGCGGTGAGGTGAGGAAGGGCCAAGGGTCAGCAGGAGACTCAGAACTCTGCATGGGTCAAGATGGCCAGCACAGCCCACACCCCTGCTCCCCAAGCCCTCAGGTACAGGGAGGATGTGGTAGTTTCTGGGCACACTGGGAGCTGCCCTGAGCACTCCTGAACTCCTGGCCCTCTATGCTGAGGGGGACATGAAGCCCTCAGGCTGCCTGCTCTTGGAGTTCCAATAGGAGAGGTGACACACAATCCCCATATGTGACAAAGGTCAAAGGGGGACCAGTGCTGTGCTCGTGAATTACTTATTTCATAATGATGAATCAAACCTTAGAGAGAAGGGAGATCAGCCTCTGGGCCTGAGGTGGGCAGAGACTGAGGTGGGGCTGCACTGCTGGGTGGGGCAGGGGGTGGGGCATCAGGTACCATCACGTGCCCTGGCCCCAGCTCCCTCCGGTCTCCAGACCTCCCTCACCTGAAGGATGGGGGCTGCACCAGGTGGTGGAGAAGCCCACCACCCAGTGCCTGTCCCTGAGGCCTCCCTGGGCTGGGTCAAGAATTGGCCCTGCTGCCCAGAGGCCAGTGACCCCCTTACTCCTGCCTCCCACCCCTGGTCAGGGCTCAGTTCCTCACTCACCACCCCATCCTCAGCAGGCGCATTATCCCCGACCACCAGCATCACGGGGCAGCTGCAGACACAGAGGAAAAGGGCTGTGTGGCCTGGGCATGGGGCAAAGGCGGGGCAGGCTGGAGGGGAGGGGGCACTCACCGGAGCGTCTTGGCATTGGGCACTGTTCCAGGCCGGTTAATGTCCAGGTCTCTGCGGCTGCAGGCAGAGAGAGGCCAAGATGGGCATCCCAGGACTGGATCCCAAGGCAGGGGGTTGGGAGGACAGGGCGTGTTGCTCCTAAGCCTGACACTCCTGTATTTCAGCCAAACCCCATCCCCAGGAGTCCCCTGGCTGGTCCAGAGTAGGGCCTCAAGCTCATCCAGTCATCTCAGCAGTAGAACACGGCCTCACAGATCCCAACTGATGAAACAGGCACACAGGGGCCTGCTCTGCATAAATAGGGCTTCAGTGTTCCCTCATGCGTGACTTCTTCCTGGACCCCCCAAATCATGCCAGGTGGGCCCTCGAATTTGGCTCTCCCTCCCCGTTGAGGCACTTGTCAGATGTGCACAAGCCTCTGTCCTGTGGGATTCCTGGGCCACAGTCGGGGCAGGGCCTGGGCCTCACTTGTTCTTCACTTTCTCCAGCATCATGCACACAGCAGGTGCTTAGTAAATATTTGCAGGAGAAAGAGAAGAGAGGGCAGGTGAGTGAGGGGGCCTGGCTAGTCCCCTGCAGGGCAACCCCAAAGGGGCTCCAGGGAGCCGAGCTTGACAACCAGACTTCCTCCAACCTCCTCCCCATTTTATAGATGTCGGCACTGAGGCTCAGGGTTGTTGGGGTCAGGGATGTCGCCCACATCCCCCACTGCTCCCAGCCGGCAATGCCCCAAGGGAGGAGTGGAAGAGCCCAGAACCAGAGTCGGCTGGAGCACTGCTCCACCTGTGCTCCTCGAGGGGTGTGACCCTGGGCAAGAAGCGAGCCCTCTCGGAGGCTCAATAATCTGCTCATCTACACACTGTCTGCCTGCCTCCTCCCATGGATGGTTGTAGCAAGGGGTCCCCCAAAAGACTGGGGGCCCTGCGTCCCAGTGCTGACGAGCCCCACACTGCCCACACCTGTTGTATATGTTCCAGAAGAGCTGCAGGTTGGCCTGGTTCACCACGTTCCCGATCTGCTGCCGGTAGCTCTGCACCAGCTCTGTGCTGTTCACCAGCTCCTCCTGGGCCCAGGGGGACGGACGGGGACACACGGAGGGAGCGGACAGACAGGGGCGTGGGCTCAGAGGGGACGTGCACGTGTCACCGCCAGAGCAGCCCTTTCCAGCTCCCAGCAGGGTGGGGTGGGGGGCTGGGACCTCAGGAGGGGAGGGGAGGCTCCACTGAGCGATGGGAGGAGGCCCACCCCCGATCTGTCCTTCAGATGCCCCAACATCATGGCTAACAACAGAGTACAGGGTGACACAGGTCAGATGCCACAGAACCCCAACTCCCCTCCTCCTGCCCGGCTAGGAGGAGGCAGAACCAGGCCCTTCAGAAGCTGCCTGAGCCTCCTTAAGACCCCCTGCCTGGCCACCCCTGTTCCTGTTGAGGACGGCCCCCATGCCCTTACCTGGCTGAAGAGGTGGGATAGCACCGTGTCGGGTAAAGTGCTGGTCAGGCCGGAGAGCTGCGGGCCGAGGTAGAGGGCATGTGAGTGCCGCCCCTCACCACCACCATCCCTGTCCGGGCTGACCACGCTCACCTTGGTGGCGGCCCAGTCGATCCAGCCTTTGCCATTGGGGTCAATGTTCATCAGCACCAGCCCCTCCACCAGGTCGGGGTAGATGAGCTGCCGGTGAGAGGGAGACAGGGCTTGGGGTGGGGGGAACGGTGGGCAGGGGGCCCCAATCTTCCCAACTAGAAAACGGGCTGTAAAATTCTGGCTCTTCCTATTTCCTAGGTGGTTGGGAGGGACCGAGGAAAAGGACAGACTCCGTAAGGGCTTCAAGATGCCACAGATGACCCACTGGCCTAGGAACCTGCCTGGACTTCCCAGTCAGCTGCCCCAGCTCGGCCTCCTTCCTGCCTGTAAGCTCTCAAAATTCTTTATTTGGAATCTATGCCTATATCACTGTTTTCCACCTCTTGTAATATACTTCTGAGGATGCTGCTATTGTAAAACTGAGGATTAAACACCTCCAATCAAACATTTTGTTTCTTTGCTTTCATAGTGATGTTAAGTAGGACACTGACCTTCCCAAAGCCTGTCTGTGTTAGATATTGTCAAAGAGATTCACAAGTTCTGTTCAAGTGCCCATGTTTAGGGGAAAATGGTAATATACATACAACACTACTGTCGCAGGTTTGTCTGGGGGGAGGCAGTGGTCTACAGTGAACAGAATGGTTAAGTGCTGTTTCCAAAACCGGAGTGGAAAAATTTGGGTCATTTCTTTTGAAGAAAGAAATATTTTGCATCCTGAAAATTAAGTTTTGTTTTTAGAGATGAAAAATTTGGAGGCTCCTATCTGACAGGATGTTTCTCAAATGTGACTTTCTTTAAACCTCGCGACCTCAACATAAGTGTACTTTTTGGGTTACAAAACGATTCATGTTTAACTATTACCCTATTTAATGAATGGGTGATTAGGCTAACCCTTGTTCAGTGGCTAGAGCAACTAGTTGTATAGTTTGTTGTTAATAGAAGTTTTGGCTTTGGATAACTGTCAAGCATGTTATAATTTATAATCTTTTGAGGAAATGTATGGACAAAGTAACCTATTTTTTTTTAAAGTTAATTTCCTTGGAGGAAAAAAGAAAAGAGGGCTTTTCTAAGTGAAGAGGAAGTAGGGGGAGGAGAAGGAAGAAAGAGCAGCGATAGTTCTCTGGGGCTGAAAGCCTGCCCCGCCCCCCCCAGGGACTTGCCCTAGGATGTGGGGGGCGGGGTGGGGGGGTGGTGGGGGGAGACTCACAGCAAACTTGGCCAGCACATATGCTCCGGCTCCCACTCCAATGCCAATCACGTACTTGAACCTGGTGGAGAGCATGGCTGCTCACCCTAGGGCTGGGGGTGTCATTTCCCATGACTGCCACCCACAGTCCTCAGCCTCAGCTGCAGCTTCGTGGCTCTGTGGTGGTGGTGGGCACCCCTGGGCCCCCAGCACGGGGGCAGGGGCCAGGCAGGGACTCACCCAAAGTGCTGCACCACGCTGGGGAGCATGGCGGCCAGCTGCTCCATGGAGGGGAACTGGTACCTGTGGGGCAGAGCAGGAGGTCAGGCCCAGGTGCAGTCTTGGGCGCAGAGCTGGGGAGAGCTGGAGGGGCTCCGGGGTACCTACCCCTGAGGAAACTGCGACGCCCCCACCTGCTGCCCGGGGGCATCCACATGGCACACCACGAAGTGCTTGGTGATCTCCTGCATGTCCTCGAAGTTGAAGAAGGTGTTGAAGCACAGCTTGTCTGCAAAGACACACCTCTCAGCTGTGCTGAGCAGAGGGGGAGGGGGGCCCGTGGGCCTGGGAGGCAGGGCGAGGCAGAGTGATCAGCCTCATGCTCCAGCAGGGAAACTGAGGCCCAAATAACTAAGGGCACAAAGCTAAGTGGGCGCAGGGATCTATGGGGTCCTACGGGGAGAGAAGGGGGCCTCACTGCTCTGGGAGACTCCAGGCAGAGGAAGCCGGATGAGGCTGGGGTGCACTTACGGTTGAGGCCCACGTCATGGTAGGTGAGGATAGCTGGGCGGTTCCCTTTGGGGGAGCCCCGGATCACCACGTGCAGAAGGCCATAAGGTGTCTCAATGTCGTGTTCCTGAGGGGAGAGACAAGGCTGGACACTCCGGGCGGCCCCCACTCCTGGTTCTTCTGGGGAATGAGGCTGTGGGGCAGCCTGGGGGCTGCTGGGCCTGTGGGGCCTCCACCTGGAGCACCCCATTCTCATCACCCCAAGCAGCTCCCAGAGAGGACAGACCAGATGGAGCACCCTTCCCAGGGCCCTTCGGCACAGGGATGTGACTGGTCTGCATGGAAAGTTCTGGTCCCCTCTGCAAACCAGCCAGTGGGGGGAGGTGCCCTGCACGCAGCCCTCCAGGGTCCAGCGAGGCCATTTTCTCCGTCTCACTGCAGCCCCTCCAGGACAGCTCTGCCACCCCAGCCTGAGCCCTGCCCTCACCGTGTTCCTTCCCAACCCAGAACCCTCGAAGGGCTGTTGCTCCTCTAGGGGAATGGCTTCAACAGCCCTGCCTAGAATCCTCGGTGAACACCCCGACGCCAGCCAAGCCCAACCCCCAGGCCTGCCCCTGGCTCCCACCTCCAGACTCTTGCTCAGGTGGGTCCTTCCACCTTGAATGCACCTCCCCTTCAGGCAGGGCCAGGTTAGACACCCACCCCCTCCCCAAGAGCCTTCTGCAGTGGCAGCTCTGGGATGCTGTTAGTCCTTCAGGAAGCAGGAGTTGGATGCTGTGCCTGCTCCTTACTGTGTGTATGACTCTTGAGCAGGGGACACCACTTCTCTGTGCCTCAGCCACCTTTTCCCAAGCCTTTTCATGGGGACTAAGTGAGAACTAACCAAGCTGATGTCTGCGGAGCCTTGGGCACTTGGAGAGGTTGGGTTGTGCCCCCCTGAGCCCTGGGGAGGTCCTCTGCTGGCTGGCCCTCTGCAACTGGTCACTCTTGGCCACTCAGTTGGGAAACTCCAAGAGGGTCCGTCAGAGCTGAATAAACAGCCCTGCCCTGCACCATGGGGAGCCCCAGGAACCAAAGGGGGTGGCCAGTGAGTTGGAGGTGGGGCTAGGGTCAAGGACAGGGAGGAAGCAGCAGATGACTGAATACTCACTGTGTGCTAGGTGCCTTGCGTGTTATGCAAGAGAGGAGCTCCTCCCCCATTTTGCAGATGGAGGACACAGATTCCAAGAGATCTTCTTGGGGGCTGGCCTTCTTGGGTCTGGGCTCAGAGGCCACTGTCCCGGCCCGAGTCTCCAGTGGGGATGACAAAGTGTTGCCAACCCCGTGGCCAAAGGCCACCCCGTGGAAGCCACACTTCTGCTGCTGCCCTCCAGGTGGCCAGGGCCACCACAGCCTCCCCTTGTCCCAGGCCTGTCCTCCCTCAAGGCCATCAGAACAAGGAACACTTCCTGCTCCTTGACCACGGACTGGACATTTCTTACGTATCTTCTCATTTACTCCTCATAGTGACACAAGCCTCAGAGTAGGAATCTGAGATGGGGGAAGGAGAAATGACTTGCCCAAGGTCGAGCCCAGAGAGGGCAGGGCAGGCCTTGTCAGGTGCCAGCCTCAGGGGCAAGGGTATGCGCTGAAGGCTGCATTTTCTGAGGAGGAGATCCAGCTCCACCCAGAAGACTACCAAGCAGGCAGCCGCTGCACAGCTACTTGCTGGGGAGGCCGTGCTGCATCCCCCACCCACCACACTCTCTTGCCTCTGGAGGGCAGGGTTGGAGGCAGGAGGGGTGCACAGGGCTATGGAGGGAGGGCTGGGGGCAGGAGGGGTGCATGGTGCTATGAAGGGGAATGCTGGGGGCAGGAGGGGTGCACGGTGCTACGGAGGGGAGGGCTGGGGGCAGGAGGGGTGCACGGTGCTATGGAGGGAGGGCTGGGGACAAGAGGGGTGCACGGTGCTATGCAGGGGAGGCTGGGGGCAGGATGGGTGCACGGTGCTACGGAGGGGAGGGCTGGGGGCAGGAGGGGTGCACGGTGCTATGGAGGGTGGGGGCTAGGGGCAGGAGGGGTGGACAGGGCTGTGGAGGGCGGGGTCGGGGTCAGGAGGGGTGCACAGGGCTGTGGAGGGCGGGGTCGGGGGGCAGGAGCGGTGCACAGCGCTATGGAGGGCGGGGTCGGGGGCAGGAGGCGCGCCATCGCACTAGAGCGCAATGCGCTTCCTGCGGCATGAAGTGCAGTCCCCGCACAGGGTCATTCCAGCCCTGCGGGGCACAAGTCAGGACCAGGGCGACGGCCTTCCACACCCAGACCTCCACTGCCCATGGCTGTGTGTGAGGGGGGTCTGTCCCCTCCCAGCCTGTGGCGCCCCAGGTCCCCATCCCCGGGGCGGCGGGACTCAGCCGCAGTGCTCGCCCTACTAAGACGCATCTCCCCGGGGACGGGAAGCGTGGGCCTGGGCAGACCCTGGGGCGTCGCCGCGCTTGCCCGGCCCGCGCGGCCCAGTGACCTTGGCTGAACCCTCGCGCCGACCTCCCTGCGCCTCCTCCAACCCCGGAGCTCAGACCCAGCTCCGCCTGATCGAGGCCGAGCGTCCCTGTCCCCCTGGGTGCTGCACAAGGGGGTCGCCCCAGGGGCCGCAGCCGGACGCACTCGGAGCCCCCACCCCCAGGGCCGCGCGCTCCCATTGGCTCCCGGTGACGTCAGAGCACAGCCCCGCCTCCAGGTGGGCATCCGCCGGAGGCACTGCGGCAGCAAGGGAGGGTGCTCTGACTTCCCCTCTCCGCCGGTTGGGTTCTCCTCGCCCGTGACCTTGAGTGCTGCGGGGCCTTTGAGCCAGGGCTCAGCGCGTGCGCCCGGGAGGGGAGGCTAGTCCGATTCTTCCCTCCACCGCATCCATCGTTCAGGGACCCGGGCTGCGCCCGCGGCAGCCACTGACGTCGTTGCCCGGGTGCGGGGCGACCCCGTGGGCTGCGGACCGGGCACGGCAGGCAGGGGTTGGGGGTGCAGGAGAAGGTGTGCCCTGCTTTTCCCTCCTTGAGGAAGAACAGCACCCCTGGGTACTGCTGCCCGGGCGGGAGGAGGCGCCCAGCCTGCAGGCTCAGGGCTCCAGGGGTGCCTTCCCCCACCCACAAAATAAGGCACCGCGACCCCCCTCGTCCCCTCCCCCACAAGAACCCTGGCTTGCCGGCCTAGTTAGCACCTCGCCCCAGACCTCCCCGCCTCTGCTCGACTGGCACCGTGGTGCCCTGGGGACCAGGAGGCGCTGCAAGCAACTCCTAAGGAAGAAAGGCTGTCTGTCCTGTTCGCACTCCGGTGCAGCCACCCAAACAACCGAGACAAGCCCGCAGGGTCACGAGGGCAGCCCCCTGGGGTGCACGCACAGGCACCCCAGACAGACGCGGGGCGCACAGCCTCCCCCAGCGCTGAGATGGTCACAGGCGCGAGGCAGACGCCAGCCGGGCACGTGCCAGGCGGAGGGCACACTGTCCGCGGGGTGTACACACGCTGGCACGCCGGCCCACACAGGCTTGCAGACAAGTCGCAGCCCATGCCGTTTTCTGCAGATGTCACCCCTCCCCGGCCTGCGGGGGCTAGCAGCTACCCCCGAACACGGCAGACCAGGGTCACCAGGGAGACGAGGACCTGCTGGCCTTGCCTCGGCGATCCCCCAGGTGAGGCGACTGAAGGCAGATTCGCCACCAGACATGGGCTGAGGGATGCCCTTCGTCCCTGACCCCCTCGCCGCCCCGGAGCCCTCACTCACCCCATCCCAGCACTCCGGCATCTTGCCGAGGGACGCGACCGCCTCGCCCAGGAAGGGCGACCAAAAAGCCTGAGTCACTGGGTCCAGAGGGACGAGGCAGCTCCAGCAGGAGATCAGAGGCTTTGAGATGGGGTACCGCTCCTCCCGGGGCCATTTATATGCAGAGCCTGCCGGGCCTAGGCCGGCCCCTCCTCCTAGCGGGGTTTCTGAGCAGCCACTAGGAGCCCCCGCTCCCAGATTGGCTGTCGGGAGACAACCTGGCTCCGATTGGCTTCCGAGGTCCTCACTCACCAAGCCCTGCCCCCGCTCCTCCCGCCCCCAGCAGCATATCATCCTTGATGGTCCCGGGCTCCTGCATCCCTCTGGCGCCAGCACAGACACACACCCACAGCTGCAGCTGCACACAGGGTCCTGGGAAGATGCGAGGCGAGGCCACGCGTCCAGGTGTGCCCTGTGTACACAGGAGCCTCTCACAGACACCCGCATCAATGCAGGGCAAGGCGGGCCACAGGGCATGACCTACACTGCCCAGCCCTTGACCTAGACCCTGGGGAGCAGGGAGGGCCCACCAAGCCCACCTCCACATCAGGGATCACTTAACCTTGAAGGGTTGTGGGGAGTCACTGCTGTCTGGGGCAACCTGGGGACTTCTCCATCCCCAAGGTCCCCCCTAGGGCTGCCCCCACTCTGCCCACAGGCATGCTCAGTGCCTGCCCACACTGCTGAAAGGGGTTCTGGGGCCAGAGGGGCTGCGTAGATTGCAGGTCCAAGGTATGGTGGGCACACACCAGCTCTGCCCTCCCTACCCCTATCCTGTAGGAAGGGGCTGGAGGCCACCAGGGAGAGGAGGAGAGACAGGAGGCAGCCTGATGAAGTGGGCATGCCTACCTCCCGCAGACCTACCCAGCTCTCCTTCCCGGGCCAGTCATCTTGGGGCTTAGCTCCCGGGTCTCTGGGGAGCAGGACGCATGAGCCACCTCAGGCTCTGTGCCCCGTCCTCCTGAGCAGCAAGGATGTGGGGGAAGAGCTGGCTGGAGACATGTTGGTAGAGCGAACAGGAGAAGGAGGAGGCAGAGGAAATGGACCAGGCAGGGGAGCAGAGAAGGGCGGCCCAGGACTGGGAGAAGCGGGAGCGACAGAGAAGGGAGGGCCACGGGGCACCCGTGTCCCCATTCTGTCTCTTTGGTGAAGGAACGTGCCATTTGATGCCTGTGTGACAGCCCTGCACACTGGCTGGGCTGTATGGGCTGCCCTGGGAAGGTGGTCACCTCCCCATCTCTGGGTGCCTAGTAACCTGGTCAACACCTGCCACGTGTGCTATTCTGGGCCGTGTCCTCTGCCTGGGGCCATCAGCAACCTCCCCTGCCCCATCTCCATCCTCTCGCTCTGACGGCCTAGTGCAGAGTGCCGGGACCTGCTCTCCCAGGGCAGCCAGGGGGTGGAACGATGTGTCCCCCTGCCCTCATGTCCTGGCCACAGTCGCTGTTCCCTGCAGCCACTCTGGCACAGGAAGAGACTCCGACTACTGAGGCAGCCACAAAGATACAGCCCTGCCCCCTGACCTGCCACAAAATCCTCACAGATGCTTCTCGAAGGGGGGCGGGGGTGGCCTGCCACCCTTCCTGCCATCATCTCCCTGCTCCTCCATGGTCCCATCCAACCTTGTGCCACCCCAACCTCTGACCTCTGAGTGGCCTCTCCCCTCCTTGGACCCAGGTGAGAGGCTGGCCTCGGACACGGCCCACCATGGCCTCCATTTCTGCTCAGCTCACTGGCTTTACATCCACAGACCTGAGTTTAAGTCCTGGCTCCCGCACCCACTAGCTGGGTGACCTTGGGTAAGGTTCCTTGGCTCCTCTGTGCCTCAGGATCCTCAACTGTAAAACAGGAATCCTGCCTTCCTCACGGAGTGGTCACGAGGATGAGAAAAAGCTGCATAAGCCACTCCAGGCCTGACCCCATGCCCGCCCAGGCCCTGGTAACAAAGAAATGGCATCATCTGTGTGCTTCTCCAAACTGCTGGCCCCTTCCCTGGAGGTTGTACAGTTGCTGTAGCTGAACAAGGCAGGCTCAGGTCTTGTTGACCAAACCTAGGTACCAGTCATAGCTCTGCCACTTCCCTGCTGTGTGACCTTGGATAAGTCAGTCAACCTCTCTGAGCCTTCACCTCCATAAATGGGAGAACAGCAGTGCCTATTGCACCGGTAGTAGCCAGGATAACACACAATCCTCACAAGCCTGTGAGGAAGGATGAGGAAACGGAAGCACAGAGATGTTCATTTTCCCATCAGCTAGTAAGCAGTACAGGTCCCCAGCACCGGAGCACCCTGGGCCTGAGGTCGAATTATTAAGTGTAGCAAATGTTTATTAGCATATCTCCCATGTGCCAGGCTCTATCCAAACGCTTTACACATTACCTCATTTCATCCTCCTAACCTCCACTTTATAGAGAAGCACGGAGAGGTTCTATAACCTGCCCACATCACCCAGCCAGTGAGCACAGAGCCAGGAATCGCACCCAGTCAGTCTGGCTCTGACTCCTGGAGCTCTGGTGGCCACCAGTCACCGTCAGCCCAGGGTCTGAGTGCCCGGCCTGAGGGTACCATCCCGGACCCTACAGACACCCAGGGGGGCTGTGCTGCCTGTCTCCCTCCACGGATGAGGCAGTGACATGTGTTGGAGGTCAGGTGGCCCATGAGTGGCAGGGCCAGGACCCGGACCCAGGTCTGTCTGGCTCTAGTTTGTCCTTCTGCCTCCCCTGGGGGCTGGGTCCATTAAGGCAAGGGACGAAGTGGGATAAAATCTCTGCCAGCAACCTCACAGCTGCTTTACGAAAAAAAAAAACAGGGGCAGCCTCGATGCTGTGTAGCCAGAGGAGAGGGCGAGGAGCCTTCAGCACACGCAGCCCTTTTCCAGAGAAGGAGTTGAGAGCCAGGGTCCCACACGTGGGGGCAGCCACTCTCAGCTGGGCTTGGCATATGGATGTGAAGGACCCCAGGACTCCCTTCTCCCCTCTCATACTTTTGGGGGCTGGCAGTCAGCCCTGTTGACTTCCGGGGTCCCACTCGATATCAGGCAGGGGCTGGCTGCTCTGGATTTTATTCCACCAACCCCAGCCCAGGGAGGAGGGGCCGTCTGCCCACATGTTCCCGCTGTCATTTGAAGTAGGGAGGACAAACAGGACCCCTTGGCATGCCTGTGCTGATCCCTGGCTAGGCCTGGGCCACCTCGTGGACACATCCCTCCCTTCTCTCCTCCTGGGCTCCCATTCACCCCATCCCATCCTCCCAGCCCCGGAGCCCTTTGTGTCTGGAGCTGGCGCTCCCGGGGGACCAGAGCATGTGCACAGTGGCTGCATCTGCCTGCGTCCTTGAAGGGGTTGGTGACCCAGGGCCCGACGCAGGCCCAGATCGGATCCTCAGATCCTCGCTGCGGAGTTGGCGCTGGGGGAGGAGCTGGCAGGCCGCCCCACCTCCCACGTCATCCCTACGTCCAGACCACAAGGCTGGGGCTATCATGGGGCTTGGAGACCGACCCAGATCGAAGTCAGGCCCAGGCCAGGGCAGCAGCTAGCTCCATCTAGCCAGGACAGAGGTCTCAGAAGGGTCTGATTTTGTTCAGCAGGTTTTGAGGTCCAGCAAGACCCCAGAACACAGTCTGTCTGCTGTCAGACATTTTCTGAGACACGAAAATAAACGGCCACTATGGGTCTCAGAGGGGAGAAATGGCTGGCCAAGTGAGTGAAATCGAAATCGTTGTGTGGAGGAATAGAAACAAACAAGGATTTCAGTTTTCACAGGGAATCTGGCAACAAATTAAAGAGGACGTGGTTGTCCCGGCAACAGCTGCCATGGAAACAGGAGCTATTTCGGAGAGTCAACCTGGCTCTCATTGGAGGAAGATGCTGATTCAGCTGACAGCATCCTCACTCCCCCAGGCCTCCTCTCCCTCCCCTGTCCTGTTCAGGGAGGGAGGGGGCATCTCTCCACAGGGCAGGGGGGCAGGCAGAGAGGCTGTGAGCAGTGGGGATAGTCCTGGAGGCTGTGAGATGCCCAGCCCCTGCTGCTCCAGGCTGGGGGCACACGCAAGGGCTGCGACCCTCCTCTGGGAACAGGCTGGGTGGGGTGAGGGGCCAGCCAGCTGATGGTCCCCCAACTCGGGAGGCTGAGCCAGACCTACCTTCCAGTCTGTGTCCACAGCCAGGAGGAAGGTGTCAGAGTTCTCCTAAGGGAAAGCAAACAGAAGGGGTGGCTCGTCAGGCCTGGGCTGGCCCGGGCGGGGAGGGGACCCCCACAGGCGCTCTGCCTTGAGCAGATTCGCTTGCTGTCCCTCAGTCTGTCTTAATGTTAACAAGAGTGACCCAGGGCTTCCCAAGCACGAGGAATGGGCTAAGTACTTGGCGGATGAGCCTAGGAGCAGCTCCATGCATCGATTTTACCTAATAATTTAAAATACGACGATTCCCACTTTACAGGCAAGAAGGGTGAGGCTCAGAGAAGCTGAATCACAGGCTAGAAAGTGGTGGAATCTCTGATCCCAAATCCTTGCTGACTCCACTCTGCCCTGCTGCCCCCACAGATGGTTTTCAAGGTCTGACCATCAGGGCACAAGGACAGAGGCCAGGGAAGAAAGCAGAGGCGGGCAGAGAGGCTGGGCTGTCACACCTACATGAGGGATGGGAGGCCCAGGCCCACGCATGGAGGGAGGGACAATGGGGCTCTCCTGACCAGCCACAGGCGTGGTGTGGGCCTGCAGCTGCAGACGCTCCCACCCTGCCACACCTGCCTGCTTCGTGCTCCCCCGCTTTTGGGCTCATTTACACTGAAGCTGTGAGCCTCTGATTGGTGGCCGTCCCTCCTACTGGGCTGCAGGCCCCGCGGAGGCGGCCCCATGTCTGGTTCTGCTCTCAGCAGACAGCCTGGCATGGAACGGGCTCCCCAAACACAAGCAGATCTGCCTGAACACGTCTGACTTCACGGATGAGGGGAACGCGGTTGAGACGCATGGATGCTTTCCATGCAGCAGAGATGGAGAGCAGGGGCGGGGCTGGGGGCTTGAACCCCGTGTGTCTGAGTTGGCAGGTTTGGCCCACCGCCTCCGGGGGCCCCTCAGACCCTCTGTGCCCTCTCTGGGTCTCTGTCGGGGGAAGGAAACTTCATAGGGGGACCGGAACATGTCCAGGAAAAGCAGAGATCCTGCCTCTGCCTCGGCTTGCACCATGTCTGTCTAGGAACCTCTGCTCCCTGCTGCCCGGCTCTGAGCCTCTGGGCAGGCACCTTCGCCTCGGGGCCTCACAGTCTGCGAGGACTAGAGGAGAGCAGGGCGTTAGCTGTTGTTCCTTCCCTGTCCCCTTGCACTGGACTTCGTGTGCCCCAGATGCTCCATCAGCCCCTCCTGAGTAAATACGTGGATAAAGGAGATGATCGGATTAGAAGCAGGACGTCACGGGAGGAGAGCAAGAGAAGGGGTGGGTCACCAACGTGCAACGCGAAGGACAAGGACCCCAAGTCACGGGAGTGGGAAGGAAAAGAACAAAAAGCAGCAGTTCTGATGTTTTACTCTCAAAGTAGGCAAGTCCAACCACCTGCATTCTGGCAGATGTGCTGCTGCGGGGAGGTGGAGAGAATCAGAGGGCACGAGAGCGTCTAATGCCCAGAGGAAAGCCTGGCTGCCGGCGACTGCGGCTGCCTCATCAACAATGGCTGTTTCGCCAGGGCCGGGGGCTCTGCATGGGGAGGGGAGGAGAGCATGGAGGCGGCCAGGCCACTCCTGGAACCTCCGAGGAAGGGGAGTGGGGTCTGGGAGAAGGGGACAAGGCTGGTTATCGAGGAATCCTCACACCAGAAGACCTTGCACAAGGCCAGGGAAAGAAACGTGGGAGGTTTTCAAACTCGAGACCCTAAGAGAAGGAGGGAGAGTGCGGTTTTGATAAAAATAAAATCTAAACAAAGGATGAGGCAGACAGTGGCAGGGTGCGCTGTGCGCTCTCAGGGGGCCAGGATGGGAAGCTGTGGAGGGCAGGACCCAAAAACCAAGAAACAGCAGGAAAAGGACAGACACGTTCACACGGTGCAGCTGGAAAAGGAGACCCCGTCTGTGAGCGTAACCATCTGGGAAAGAGAGAGAACGGCTCCGGGAGGCAAAGAGCGGGGCAGGACTGCACAGCTGTCACTGAAATCTGCAAAGGCCACGCGGGCAGCACCTAGGTTTTTTGGGGCTGGGGAAGAGGCCATCCATGCTCCTTGGAAGAAGCAGATGTGAGGTCCACACGGGTCTTGTGCTGACCCGAGACAGGAGAGAAACTGAGCTGGGCATTCGAGGCCTCCACACAGGACAAGAGGCAGACCTGCGTGCAGGGTGGGGACATCATGGTGGCAAACTCTGGTCCAGGTCCAGGAGGGACAAGGTGAGAGACACCAAATGCAGCAGGAAGAAGGCAGAGCCAGGCTGCTGGTCAAAAGGGGGCCATGCTCACCAATCCAGGGAGGGAGGGGTGGCAAGGGGGGCCATGCTGGGGGTGGGGAGGGCTGTGGGGTGTCTCTTGAGGTGCTCTGCTGAGGCGAGGAGTGGAAGAGGCAAGCTCGGGACACGTGAGGCCTGGTGCCCTCAGCTCCCTGCGCTGTCCACAGACGCACACCCCGTTCCAGCAGGCAGCGCCTCCGTGTGGCTGCCCTGAAACCCCCAAATCTCAGCTCTTGTGATGGGGTGCAGGGGTCCCCGAGGGTCACCATCCACCCCACCAAGCCCTCAAAGAAGGCTGCTCTCTGCTTGCGTGCCTCGAAAGACGGGCTGGTTGTGGGGAGGAGGCACTTCTCAGAAAGTTCTGGGAAACTTCTTTCTTCTGAGCGGCACCACAGTCCAGGAAAAGCGGGTGGCCCGGAGGCAGGAGAGAGCGAGCAGGGGGAGAGCGTGGGGGCCGGGGGCAGACGCCAGGCTGGCCCGGAAGGACGGTGGCTGGAACCCTGACCAGCTCCAGGCAGAAGAGGGCTATGATCTATTCTGAGAGGGCTGCATGGAGTCAGACCAGGGAGGAGGCTGCTGCCAGCGCCTGCACAAGAGCTGATGGGCCTGACCAGGCGGAGAGCACAATCAGAACGCAGGCTCTGCAAAGCATGCGCTCCCCAGCCGAGCCCTGACCATTCCCGGGGCCCTGCCCCTGATAATCAGGACTGACAAGTTAACTCCAGGCTCCGGCTTCAAGATAAGACCGTACCCTCCTCGGACATGACCGCTGGCCTCATGTGGTTGGGTCCCTGCAGCCCCGGCCAGCCACTCTGTCTCAACACGTGGCGCTCAGGGGCTCTGGGGCTCACCTCCTGGGCAGAGGAGGACAGGGGCCAGGGCAGGGCAGCCATGGGGGCGCTGAAGAGGCAGGGACTCAGCTCCTGGCTTCTCCATCTTCAGAGTGAGGGGGGCTGCGACGGCATAAGCAGCAGAGACCTCCGCCACCCGGCCCTGACGCCCCAGAATTCCACAGCAGGGGACCCACAGCTTTCCGTGCAGGGAGGGAGAGAGAAGCTGTGCCTGCCTTCATCACGTCAAGAAAGCGTGGGGTAGAAATAACCGGAATCTAACGCCAGGTGCCCTAAATAACAACCTCGAGCGCCTCCGTCCACTGCTCCTGGAGGCACTGTTGGTAACGCTCAGCCCTCAGAGCTTGTGAGGAAAAGACCCGGAAAGGCCCCGGCAGACGGGGAAGCACCGTGCCCCTGCTGGAGGCAGCACTGCCCAGCGGTACCCTCTTGGGGCTCAAGGGCCTCCCAGAACCTGGGGTTGAGCACGGCCTCACTCCCTGATAGCTGTGTGACCTTAACCTCTTAAGCCGAGTGAGTTAACCTCTCTGTGCCTCAGTTTCCTCATCATTAAAATGGAAATGACCCTCCTAAAGAGCCTGAAACACAGCCAAAGCACAGCGAGGTGGGCTGGGACTTAGTCGCGTGGGCACTCAGGAAGGGAAGGCCCCCAAGGCGGGGACAAGGCTTCTCAGCGGGGAGTGAAGATTCGGCCCGGTGCCAACGTCAAGCCTGGAGGGAAGGGGCGCAGTTTCCTTCTTGGCCACGAGGTGGCGCCCTCCGCCCAGGACCGCGCAGGGGCGACTCACCAGCTCGGCGGCGTCCTGCCCCCGCAGCAGCGGCTTCTCCTCCGGGAATCGCAGCTCCTGCAGCCCGGCCATGGTCACGTCGTGGAGCAGGAGCCCTAGAGAGGGAGGGCGAAGACCAGCGTTGGGGCCTGCGGCGGGACGCCGGGCTGGCTATGACGCTCCCGGGCGGACGAGGACAGGGCAGGCCCGGGCTGGGGCGGGGGTCCCGGGCCGCGCCCACCCCCCGCTCCATCCCCGCATGCCCCAGCGCAGGCCGGTGCAGCTTCCCCGGGGCAGCAAGGCTCCGTCTGCGGCCTTGCCTGCTTGGCTCAGGGATGTCGTCATATTATTTGCTTTAAAAGCTAAAACGTATTTCAAAAAAGAAAGAAAAACAACACAGGATGATCCCTAAAACAATTTCAAGTAAACTTCTGCATTTATTGCGAAGCAGAGAGGTGAGTGTAGGGAGGCCAAGGGCAGGGTCAGAAGCAGACAGAAGTGCCCTGTGGTGGGAAGTGGACAGTGGGGTCCAGTAGGACACAGAAGAGTTGCGGGCTGTCCTGAGGGCTGGAAGGACCCTCGGTGAGGATGCCTGGAGAGGGGAGAGGGGGCCCCTGGCAGCGTGGCAGGCAGAGGGAAGCTGAAGGAGGGGGTGCCACTCATGATGCACCACCAGCAGGCAGGGACCATACAGCTGACCATCAACCCACAGCCGCCAGACGGTAGGTCCCAGGCCCTCAGGGCTGGGTGTTCCTGGGAGACCCTCGGCCTCTGACCCTCAGGAGATAGAAAAGCTCATATGTGCACATGTGTGTAGACACGCATGCCTGTGTCTGGAGGAGCCAATGTGGCGAAGGCAGACAGAGAGGGACTCAGGACCCCACAATCTGTCTAGCCTGGCACCACCATCCCTCACTTGGATTTCCCGATGGTACAGCTCAGAATGCACCAAGCGAGAAATTAGCCAAGGACGTGAACTGGAGATTCATGAAAGAATTAAAGTTGGTAAATAAATACATGGGACGATATTAAAGCTCACTAGAAGTCAAAGAAATTCAAATTAAACAAGATACCTTTTTTTTTTTTTTTT